AAGTGAAAAAAGTTGGCCACATCCATCCAGTCACATGACACTCCCCCACCAAGCCACGCCCACAGAACCAGTGGCAAAAAAAAAATAGATTTCATCACTGGTGCAGTAGTTACTCTTAATGGGGCCCCATTAAAAGAGTTGGTTTAGGGTTTGAAGAAAACTGCTGCAGCAAGTAGCAAGACCAAAGGTCCCTTGCCCAGCTTTTGCTGGTGTGCCAATTATGATGCTACCTGGACTAGTCTGGCAGTAGTATTTAATGCCATGATTGCCACTCAGCTGCAGTTCTGTAAAAGTTGCTCTGTATAAAATTGCCTTTGACTTGGAACAAGCAACTAATACAGAATATGGCAATGGACACCAGGTTCTCACCAAGCAATGGAAAATGAAAATGTGTTATAAATGCTATCAATAACAAAAACTAATACAATTGTATTTGCATCTTAATATCCTTAAATGCGATATTAAAACAAGTACACTGAATGGTTAAAAACAGGACAGATAATTTGAATACTATTCACAATAAGATGTTAGTTTATTTAAAAAATAGTTTTAAGAGATTTCTTTAATGCCAAAATGGGTGGGTTCCAAGGATAGAATATTCATGCAAATGTAGTTGTAGTTCTGGTTGCTATTGCTTCATATCTCAGAAGAGGAGAAGATTGGAAGAAGAATCTCCTTGTTGTAGGGAAAAATTCTCAAAGAAGAAATATTTGAAAACATTCTTCTCAGCTAAAAGCTTCTTTGGACACTGAAGGATGTGGATTGTCAGTTCATTTTTCTGTCTTTGTAGTTATCAAGCGGTGGAATATATGCGACTGGGACTAGACCCAACGATGGCATGTCAGAAGGTTATTTCTAGAATCCAGAAATATCACCCTTATTTCTTTGGTGCTGTTATTTGTGCCAACACAAGTGGAAGCTATGGTACTTCTTTTAGTTTTTTCTTGGCATAGAACAATTTCTAAGTTCATATAGGTATGGTTGTGTTTACAATATCTATTGGTCATGCTAGCATTGATATGAATAAGTTTCATATGAAAGTGGCTAAAGGAAATGTTCACGTTCTTCTTCGGAAAGTAGCATCAGACCGAAGCCCACTTCAAAGCAATCAAAGATCAGTCATGCTGGGTGTCTCATTAATAAACCCTTGGATCACTGAGAAGTGTAATTTTGCTAATCAGTATGGCCTGTTGGGCTAGGTTGCTTAGTGCAGTTCTTTTATCTCTGATTTCCCGCAGTTCATATTTGAAAGATTAAATATACAAAGGTTCATTAAATTCACCAATATTAAGATGTAAATTGAAATAAAGTTGCAATTATACTTGCAAGAGATATGAAGTCTATCGAACTGCTTTGAGGCGGATTTCTTTTTAAAAGTGAAAAGGTTTATTAGAGAAAATTCAATAATGGTATAACTAAGTCTATAAAGAAATCATTACATCACAATAGAAAAGTAGAATCCCTAAATGTTAAGAGTATCAGGAGGCAGATTAATGCAGTAGCCATTGTTTATTCTCTCAACTTTTCTTTTTCCTCCCACAGGCGCTGCCTGCAATAGAGTCCCAGGATTCACACAGTTCCATTTTATGGCTTCTAACCCTATTCTGAAGCAGCCATCTGAGCAAATAATAGACTGCATTTAACTTTTTTTCCATCCCTTCTTCTCTTAATGGAAGTCCCTAAACTCAACCCAGTGGAAGAAATGAAGACTCTCAATTTAATCCTAATATACTCTTGGAATTAAACTGCACTGCGTTCAGTAGAAATTATTTCTATCTAAGTTTGTTATACAAATAAATGAGTAGATTAGGTTCAGTCAAGTTGAACAAAAGCATAAAACAACTTTTCTTAATGACTTTCTGAGCTACTTTTTGCATTAACATTCATTTTTAAAGATGCTTTGTAAAATTAGAGAACTTAATGATTTTCCCCCTAAGTTAAGTCTCTGTTCTCTATTTTGCATGATATTCTAATATAAGAGAAACCAATCCTCAAATAGACAAAATGTAGCCATTGCTTAAATTGTTTACCATTTTACCCTTAAAATAAATTCTTGTGTAGACTTCAAAAAGCAAGGGCCAATAAATTCAATTTTTCTTTACAATACAGTATGAAATATTTTTTTCTGCTATTAAAGTTGAACCATGAACCCCATAGCATTCTACCTCATTCCCACTCCTCAAATAACTACCAGTGCTTTCTTTAAACATGGTCTTGCCGCAATCTATTTAATTACCATAATTTGTGTTGCGTAACCATGAACCAGTAATTATTGCTCAGCCTGACCTACATTGCAATAATGGGCAAAATCAACGATGTTGGCTTTTGGCTTTCAAAAGAAAATTATGGCCTAATTGTGAAAGATTGTGAGGAAACCAGAAAACCTGGGAGAAGTTAATTGAGGGATTATATCTTAAATGGTAAAACTCCTAGAAGATGTCTGAAAAAAACACTCGAAATTCAACCATAATTCCAGGTTGATTAGAAGATGGGCTTTGATCACTCATCCAGATGAGAAAGCCAAAGTACTAGCTTTTCTGTCAATCACTTATTATGAACTGAACTTGAAGTATTGCCTTTTCCCCCCAGAGTTTCTACTTGTCAAACTAGCATGCTGCAGATCTGATCAGCCACAGAATGTCAGGCTGATGGGGACTAGATGAGCTTTTTCTGCAGCAGTGCCTGCTCTATGGAACATCCTCCTTTTGGAGATTAGAATAGCTACAACCTGTTAACTTTTTGTAAAAATTTAAAAACCTGGCTCAGATTCATGTACCAAGCCCCCCCCCCTTTCCTGGCTATATTGTTAATGGACCAGATATTTGGCTCTTTTAAACACTTTGAACTAGATCTTTTGAAGTTCTCTACTGTTTTTTTTCTGTTCTTATTGTTTTTTAATAGTAATATATGTTTTGAATTGTAAGCTGCCCAAAGAAATTTACTGAGTCAGTTGTAGCAATCAAATAAAATGTTAAATACACTAGTGGTTTGTTGTTGTTTTTGTTGGTTTTTTTTGGGGGGGGGGGTTGCCAATCAGTTGAATTATAAGAATTATGAGACAAAAAGAATAGAAAAGAGAACCACATAAGTGTCTTGTAGCCCCTCAAGATACTTTCTCTTTAGCCCTTCAAATCAATCTTAAAAATAGGCCCACTAATATTTCAATAGAATAATTCAAAGATCTTTGGGGACTATCAATGCAGACACTTAGTAGAAACATACCTGCTAAAAGACATTACAAGATTTTGGCCCAGGGTGCAACTATATCAATGAGATAATTATTTTGATTGTTTTAAAAGTAGACTCTCATACTTATAAATAATTGTCAAATATTGAATGAGATCATAAGGTGTAAATAAACAATGTTGCTTTTTTCCGTTCTTTCCCATTAGTTGTGTTTATTGGAGCGGATGTGGATTTAAGTGAAAATATCTGGATGATACCCAGGTACTATCTTTAAGACTAGTAGTTTGGAGTTGGAAATGTGGCTTCTATAGCTCAGTTATATCTTTAAATGATTCCCACTAATCCTCAACATTAAAAATATATTAAATGTTCCCTTTAAAATGACTGAAAAAATCACTTTATACAATTTTAAAGAAAAGGTTTAGGTGATTTTTGCATTTTTTCATCAGCATTATGTTTCAATATCAATTTTAACTACAGTTTTTCTACTGGTTGATAGGCTTCAAGTGAGTGATTCTATATAGCTGATATGTGAATCTTAAAACAAATTATGTTCTAACTATTATTCACAAAGAAAGCAGTATAATAAATTGTAAATAGAGAATTTTACTTCATATATTTAGCTACTAAAACAAAGTAATGAAACAAATTTAATTAAAAAAAACCAATTCTTATAATAATAGTGTTTTTTTCCGTTTTAAATTGTTTTAAATGTTTAACCAGGTCCTGGAAAGCTAATCACATTTTATTACACTAAACCATAAAGAATACGCTCAGATTTTAAAAAGAAAAAACACTCTGGTTCAATACATGTATATTAATTCAAAATGTAATCTTTTCCAACCTGGCATTTTCCAGAAGTATTGAGACCACAACTTCATTGTGTTAGCCTTTTCACCATGACCTGATAAATCCATCATTTTCAATGATTTTAGACAGCATTATTTTAGCTTGTTCTAAATAAGGTTCTGTATTTTTGCTTTTTTTTGTTTCGATTTTATAGTACTTTGACGCCTTGGGGGGTCAAAAAGGTAATTTTGAAATAATTTTTAATCGGTATAACCATGTATTGACTTGCGAGATTTGGTGAATGTAGCACTTCAATAGAGACATTGTAGAAATAGATCATAATAGCCTTTATACATTTCTTGGAATTTTTCCTTTATGCCACTTATGAACAGCAAACCTATTTGTAATTGTAGGTAAGCACATTCTTTTAAATTCACTGTATGGATTTGCCCTAAGGAGCCAATTATGTCAGTTACTTTGAATCTCCATTTTATCTATTGTGGAAAAGATTTAGGTTCTCTTGCATTAAGAAAAAGAACAAAATTGCCCTGTGCAAAATAGTGAAGAAAATTATTGTTCATGGAGGCTTTTAAGGATGAGAAACTACCAACTCTATTATTACCTTATTCCTTTTAACCTTCCTGAAATAAGTACTTTTCAAGTAGTACTTCATATTGTGGAACAATACAAATTTCTGTATCTCTTAATGGACTTTATGCTACAACTTTCACAATACTACATTCAGTGACAATTTTGTCTTTGCACCATAATTAATTACGTTAGAATTTTGCTTCAGTGTGCTTTAGGGAACCAATTNTTCAAACTCAGATTGGGTGGTAGCGGTATATGCTATGCTGTGCATGTACCCTATATGTTATAACTAAGTTTAGTGGATTAATTTGGACATACCCTTACGATCCTAAATATTACTAGGATAGTCAATACCCGGATACCCGGGAGCCTTTTATGATCTTGAATTAGATGCCTTGCATCTAATCAGCTCCATAGGTAGCCTTAGCCAATATTATTGAGTGTAACAAATGTCACATTCAGGCCGTGTTCTGTAAGTTACCCTTCAAAGAACAGAAAGCAGTGCTGTAAAGTGGAAATCGAGGACATATACTAAGGAAGTTAAGACACAAGAACTTATAAATGTTGCAAGAGAACTTTGTGATTAAGCTAACCTCTTCATTATCTTCCTTATGAAAGCAGGAAAGTCGGGTATTGTATTTTGCATTTAGTACCTGGATTGCATGTAAAGTGGAAATAAAATATGCTGAATTATGAGGTTTAAATCTTACAGAAACTAGCACTGTAGTTATATATGAAGTTGTCTCATCACAATCAGTAGGGATGCTGATAAGGTCTGGGAGGAACTCATCTTAAATTACAGTTGTAGGGGCAAGACATATTATGCTGAGGGTTTTTTTTGCACATAGAATGTTGATATATTTCATTTCTCTTCTGGGTATTAGTCTTAGGACAGATTTGCAAATCACAAAGCAACATGAGATCTGAACATTTTTGTAACTGAAGTGTTTTTAGTACGTACTGAGTTCCTCCAATGGAGATATATGTTTTATCTTTTCTTTGTTTAATGTCTCTGAACTGCAATAATTTGCTTTAGATGAAAGTTCTTTGTCCTTGGCATATACAAGCCTATATTTTTCTTTCACCAAGGTAATTTAGTTCTTTTCTCTTTTTCAAAGTCTAGGAAAAATAACCATAGGTTTCTTTGAAACACCTCTTAATTAAAGATTTTAATGTGAATAAAACTTTGATTACAGAATGTTATACCAGATGCTTCAAAATCATGTGGTCCCTACAAACAGACTGCAGAGTTCAGTAAAAAAGAACAAAGCGCTTCAGTCAGAAGAATTGAAGTTCATAACCACGATACTATTGGTATAGCAACTATTCATACTTTTATACTTATGTTTGTTGCAGCTAAAATCTCATGCACAATGAAATATCAATTGTGTATAAAGTAATGGACATAATACAAAGGACATCTACCAGGAAATGGATAATGTTACTGATTTTGTGATTTATGTGTTGAAATCTGCTTGATGCTTATTGTAGGCATCTGGCATATTCTTCTCTAATTAAGTTTTAGAGTATTATATTTGGTTTTCAACCCTTAGCATTCCCTCCTCAAATATAGTGATAATGGACTTGATATCCACTTATTGGGGTATACAGATGCACACAGCCTAAAGAGAAGCTTTTATTAGCAAAGCTGGGTTGTGATCTTGTGAAATGTAGGTTCATTTTGAACAGCATTTTTTTTTTGCTTGCTTAAAACATTTAACAAGAGAATCCTTTAAAACAAAATGAAAGATTTCTTGTTGGATGTTCTGAAACTCTGCAGCCTAATGAAACTTGGGGATTTGGATAGAATTAACATTAACATTTTCACATTTTTTAAAAATTTACTCAAATGAGTAGGAGGGGAACTATCTGTGTATTTGGATTCAGTCTCTGCCATCTGCGTAGCAATTAAATATGGAATTTACAAAAGCACTGGAGTGACTTGGGAGTGTACATCTCATTGCCAGACACTTAAGGCAACACTTCAAGTGTGATGATTACACTCGTCATCATTTAGCAATTAGCATTTTTAAAATGTCAAATGCTACGTTTCTTACCAAGCAAAAGGTATGACCTCGTAAGCACTTTGGCAGCTTACTTGAGCCAGACATTTTTCACTAGGCACAGTGATGTGCAGGAAAAGTAGCTGAAATAGGGTATGCTAGTGTATCTTAAATTAGATATTTTGTCTACCCTAGGCAAGTTGCCCACTTGGCAGATAGGATGAGATTAGATTCTTGTATTCATTCAGTAGTAAGACATGATGCTCTCACTGCTTGTTGTATGAGCAGCATAGAAATATTAGTAGAAATGAAGTAAGTTCCTTAAACTCTGTATTTTCACAAAGAGGTAAAGCAAATTATAATTAAAATCAAGATTTCAATCTACTACAGGGGGATATTGGTCACAATATGAATTTAAATTGTCTGTTAGAGGGAAAAACATCAGAGTGCTAGATTCATCATCTCATGTGCACTTAAAAACTAAGTATAGAATAGAAATAAGAAATATTAAATGTATTTGAATGTATAGAAACAC